TCCACCCTTCCTCCAGACTCTAGGACTTTGGTTTCCAAATGAAATACAAAACTTTCTCTCATCTGAAAAGAGGACTTTGGACTACTGGGCAACAGTCCAGTTCTTCTTCTCCTTAGCCCAGGTAAGACGCCTCTGACGTTGTCTGTGGTTCAGGAGTGGCTTAACAAGAGGAATACGACAACTGTAGCCAAATTCCTTGACACGTCTGTGTGTGGTGGCTCTTGATGCCTTGACCCCAGCCTCAGTCCATTCCTTGTGAAGTTCACTCAAATTCTTGAATCGATTTTGCTTGACAATCTTCATAAGGCTGCGGTTCTCTCGGTTGGTTGTGCATCTTTTTCTTCCACACTTTTTCCTTCCACTCAACTTTCTGTTAACATGCTTGGATACAGCACTCTGTGAACAGGCAGCTTCTTTGGCAATGAATGTTTGTGGCTTACCCTCCTTGTGAAGGGTGTCAATGATTGTCTTCTGGACAACTGTCAGATCAGCAGTCTTCCCTATGATTGTGTAGCCTAGTGAACCAAACTGAGAGACCATTTTGAAGGCTCAGGAAATCTTTGCAGGTGTTTTGAGTTGATTAGCTGATTGGCATGTCACCATATTCTAATTTGTTGAGATAGTGAATTGGTGGGTTTTTGTTAAATGTGAGCCAAAATCATCACAATTAAAAGAACCAAAGACTTAAACTACTTCAGTCTGTGTGCTTTGAATTTATTTAATACACGAGTTTCACAATTTGAGTTGAATTACTGAAATGAACTTTTCCACGACATTCTAATTTATTGAGATGCACCTGTATAGGGCCGGGTGATGTAGCAATAAATATAAAGGTACATTAAAATCATCACAATATGCAATTTTGTTTAATTTTATATTAAAAAATCAGTGTGAATATATGAATATTCAATATAGCACCTAGCCTTATTACTGTAGCATAGCAGCTGTATTGCTGCATGGGACATACAGTAGGTTTGAATTCAGCCTATATCTCAATAATATAAACTAAACCTAAACTAAAACAAACAAACAAAAAAGGCATCTATTACACACAGAATGTGAGTCTAGTGCACATTGATCATATGCTCTTTACTATCAGTTCTGAGAAAACAATCTTTTCATATCGCAAGGCGAATTAATATTTTAAATTATATCGTAAATTAAGATGTGATGTTCAGTGGGAGTTTGTTAAAAAGAGATGCGACGTGAGGGAGCAGGGAGCAGGGAGCTCAGTGCTGTGAGAAAGAAACTTAGAAATAGACTGAGATAACAGGAGAGAAAAACACGACATAGCAAATAGAATTGGATGTGGGCTGATGTTTAACTAAAAGTCACAGAGGAGAAGTAATCAGCCTGCAAGCATCTTGTTTCTCTCTCTCTAAAAATGTCTAGCAAAACAAAAACATGCAAATGAAGGCATTACTGTATGCACACTGGAGTTTGTAGAAAACATTTCAGAACACAAGCAACGTAAGGCATCAAATCCATTCTTATGTAATGGAGAAATGAGCAGAATAAGATGATCATTAGATAAACTTTGCATAATAAACACAATGGAGGTGAGAATTGAAATTATACACTTGTAGAGAGTCACTGAATGGAGCAGTCATGGAATTATTTGCACTATTGGACAATGTCTTCAATCTTGTCAATTTGTAGCAGTGAGTTAAGAGGTGATATTTTTCACAAGTGAATGGAGTACTTCAGGGCTCAGTACTAGGACTGTTACTTTTCACTCTCTACATGCTACCCTTGGGCGCCAAATAAATAAAGGTCACTTGACTTGATCTCTAAAACTCCAAGTACAGTGGGGAAAATATTTATTTGATCCCCTGCTGATTTTGTAAGTTTGCCAACTTACAAAAAAATGGAAGGGTCTGTAATTTTTATGGTAGGTTTATTTTAACGAATAGAGACAGAATACCAACCAAAAAAACATGATTGATGGTTATTTTGTATTTTTCCATTTCCAAATAATCGCACCAACAGTTGTCTCCTTCTCACAAAGCTTCTTTCTGATGGTCTTGTAGCCCGTTCCAGCCTTGTGGAGATCTACAATCTTGTCTCTGACATCCTTTGACGGCTCTTTGGTCTTGCCCATGGTGGGAGAGGTTGGAATGGAAGATACAGATTGTGTGGACAGGTGTCTTTTATACACCGTACGAGCTGACATTAGGAGTAACTTCTTAAAGTGGCAGGACTAATCTGTGTTCCACATGGGCACATAACCAGTCTGTGGGAGCCAGAATTATTGCTGGTTGGTAGGTGGTAATACTTATTTCACTCACTTAAAAGCAAATCAATCTCTAACCTTTATATAATGTGTTTTTTCTGGATTTTTTAGTTGGTATTCTGTCTCTATCCATTAAAATAAACCTACCATAAAAATGACAGACCCTTCATTTCTTTGTAAGTGGGCAAACTTACAACATCAGTAGGGGATCAAATAAATATTTTCCCCACTGTACATTGCAGATATGTAAGCTTTAGCACTGTTTAAAAACCCAGCATTTTCTATAGCCTACACAATGAGCTTCCTTAAGCCAGCCAATATGGGTTTTTACAGTGAAATATTCTTAATGTTTTACATTTGTTCTCCCCAGTCTTGAATATTTGATTACAAGAGAAAGATATTGCAACTACGGAAAAAAATGTTTACCTCCATTTAAAGACAACAGTGAAAGAATTATTAGGAAACAGAGCACAGGAGTATATGTCTGGAGGCAGGGGGGTCCCACACCTCACTGGTACTAGGAAACGGCTCTTGAGAATGTTGTAGTTTAGATATTGATTATCCGCCCTGGTCTATTAGCTGGCACAGTTCATCAAGTGCCACAGTTGTAGGAAAACTACAAGCCTGCAGAGAGGAACAGGTGAGAAGAGGAGGAGGGAAAGACCCCTTCTGCTCTCATACCTACAGTATAAGCCACGCTTTAATTCCCTGGAGAAACAGAAGTGCTCTTACTGGCAGTTTTTTCATCTGTAACAATAAAAAAACAGCAGTACACAATCTCAATTTTGATGTTTGTCTTCATCTGAGTAGTTCACCCAAAATGAAAATTGTCAATATTTACCCTTTTCTTGTATGGAATACTTTTATGAAGCTTTTGTTGTATTTTTTGTGCTTTTGAATAATGATAGCTGCGGTCACTGTGAAAAACACCCGTATAAAAAAAATAAAATAAAATGTATGTATCTTTTTGCCTTATACAGACAATAATGATATGTAAGTAACACAATTTTGGAACACCATGAGGATGAGTAAATGATTACAAATTATTTTTAAAACTATTATGTTAATAAAATCATAGCATTATTGAGTTTAACTACTACAAACAATGTAGTGTCATTTTAGGTACTTTAAATCCAAACAGAAAGTCCATTTTCAGGGCCCTTTGCATTGTTGAAATTTACTTTAAGCACAAATTTGAGTTTAATTGCAGTATGGAGTGTCTTACTGTCGTTGGAATACAAATCACTTCTCTTATGTGTACATTTTTTTATTTTCATAAAACAAGGGAAGTAATACTACAGGCAGTTTTGTTATTTGAAATGCAGAGTGGCTCATTTTTCTTTTTTTGAGTCTTCACAGAAAATGTGACAGAATTTTTTGAGTTAGGTTTCTGGCTTTCTGAGACAAGGTATGACTAATTAGGTTTTTAAATTCTTCATAAGAGACAGTAATTTTGAACAGTAATTTCAGATAAGAGCACAGAGAAAATAAGAAGTGAATTAAAAAGCGGACAAGTATGAAACCAAGATGTGAGCAGCATCAATTTACAATAACAGACATAAATGGCTTGTCTTTGTGTGCAACACATTGGTTCCTGCTGTGATTTAAGCATACTCGTATACAGCTGTTTCTTGCTTGTTTGTCTACATCACCTATTGTGGGTAATAATGCACAGGATAAAATACGTGTTTGACGTTCACTTTCTAGACTGATTGCTCATATTGAAGCTACATTATAAACAGTCTGTTATTCGTCTGACAAAATAGGGTACTTTGAATGGCAACACAAAAACAAATTGATCATCAAATTGCATTTCTACAGTATACCAGGTGAGAATATACTTTCATGCGCTTTAGATCAGTGGTTCTAAACTGATCATTTGATCTGATTATGTTTAGATGCATTTTATTATTCACAATTAGCATTGTGTAGAAGAATGTACAGTATTGTAGAGCTACTACCACATACTATGAAATTAGAAAGGTCTAATTGCACCCAGCAAATGAAATAAAAATCTTCAATAATTACTGAAGGATATCTTACTATGTACCCATGTGTTTTTACAGGAACTGCTAGATGATGTCCTATTAAAATGGCAGGATAGGAATCTGCAGCAGAGTGGAAAAGGAATTTTCCTTCCCTCTGTGCTCTGTTGGATGCAAATCTGGCCAGATCATGATGTATGTGATGCAGAAGAGGAACTGCTTGCATGGCAGTGGCCAATTTTGCTCCAAGTATGGTCGTGGCACCTATGTAAACCAAAAATAATGTTACATTTACAAAAAGAAATGCTCTCATTTTGCACTGTTCCATTATTGACCACCTGTTGGACCAGATTCTACCAGTCAGAAGTTTGGAAACACCTACTTGTGCTTTATTATTACTTTTTTCTACATTTTAGATTGTTAAAGTCAGAAACAAGACAAATATAATGTAATATAATATAATATAATCATGCACAATGTTCTAAAGAAGAATGAATATACAATCAAACATCAAAAGTTGTAGAAAATAGGGCAAAAGTGAGTACCTATTATTAGAAATTTTGCCCAAACACATTAATGGTAATGTCATGTGTTGAACATGGAAGACATTCTGTAATTTCCCTAAAGAAATTTGACATCTCCCTTTTCTGACATCTCTTCTAATCGAGATCCAGGAACATAATGGCCTAACAATTCAGATGGCACTTAAAAACACCCATCATTTATCTGTTAACCTCTCTTAAAGATACCAGCACACACCTCACAGGACAGCACGCACCGTGCTTCATCCCTGCCCCATGGATAATTCATTAGCACAGCATGAGAAACCAATGTCAATTAGCGGGCCGTTTTTTTCTTTCTTGAGCACACAGCAGGCTTCCTTCAACCTAGGCAGGTGCCGTGCATTATTCAGTATGGCTACGTTTGCACACTCGATCAGCGCAGGGACAGAGACAACTGCAGCTGCCCGGCCTCCTCTGAGATCCTATGGGAGACGGCTGAAGGTTAGAACACCATCGTCATGACACTTTCCTTAATGAGCTTCAGCTCAATTTGTTCCCACCTGCGGTGAGGCCGCAAGAGTAGCTTCACAAGCTTCACTCATCCGTACAAACGTACGATACAATTACAGTCATGTGGGGTTTTATTTCTTTATTTTTTTTCTCAAGCAATGCTAAACCACTGATTTCAGGCTATTCAACTTCAGAAAGCCCAGGGACTACAAAGCAAGACCCCTTTAACCTCAAGGACCAAGTTCCTATAGTAATTGTTTTATAACTGTGTAGTATGACCAAAAGTTGATATCACACTTATTTTGACAGTATACTTTTATAAATATTGTATTTTAGTAATGCCTACTTTACAGATTAATGGTATTTCATGGCAACTGATTCTTCATTAAAATAATTTTTTTTATTTGATAATGTCAGAAATTTGTTGAAACTTTACAGTTCCAAAAATCATCCTGGTCTTGTGGTACAGTTGTTGTTTTATAGTGTGCAAAGGGAGCCAAGAGATTCAAAGAAACTGGACTTGAATTTAGATGTTAAACTGTGATATATGATTTAAATTTGACTCAAGTGCAAAAACCCTGTAAAGAGTTTGAAAGGAGTCTTGCTCTATAAGCAAACTGTTGCGTTTTAACACAGTATGTGTGTGTGATATATAAATATCTAAATATAATAGCTTGTCAAGACATTGAAAAGAAACAAAAATGAATTTATGAATGTGAAGTGACATACTTCACAGATTAAATGGAAATATTAGTTACATGGCCCATGTATGATCCAAATTACCTAAATCATGCGAAGAATGTCAAATATAGATGAAATATGTATTCTTTGCCTCTGGCGTATACAGATGAATGGCAGTGCAATCTCCATCCTGAGGCAAAGTCTACGTCTCCATGTGCAGTTGGACCACATTTAATAACATGCACACACACACAGGCCTACATATATAGAGCAAGTCTCTTATTAATCTCTGACTTCTCAGAGCAATATCTTGGGGCTCTACTGATAGCCATACTAACACACTTTACATGATGTCTTTCGTTCCTTCTGAACCCAAAGAGACTTATAGGGGGAAATGTACTCTCTATCCCATTAAAGAGCTTTTAGGTTACATGTACCACGGTACAGTGGGATCAACATCAATCTAATATCATTCTAATCAATGTTACTCTGCTTTTTCTTATATAATACACCGCCGACCCTCAGAGGGTTAGAAGCAACTTTGATTCCATTCCTTTAAAAGTGCACCACTCTCCTGATGGCCTTATTTAAGTTTCTTATACAGTAATCTCTACCCTATCAAATTTCAACATTTAATTTTCCCAGCTAAATTCAATCAAACGTTCAGCCTTGTGTGACTAGCTAATCATGACCCCTGGAAGCTCGGCATACAGCGCTCTTAATCTCAGAGGTCCTCACTGGGAGGCAGCACTAAAACTCATTCATGTATAATTAAAAGTTCTCACCGCAAACGGAATATCAAGGCACGCCTGAATCCTCCGAGAGGTTTCGCATGGCGTGGAAAATATCACGCGCACCGTAATGTGGCGTGGTAATTATGTTCGGCAGCTTTTCTCGCCTCTGTTCTCCCTCTATCGCTTTTCATTTTTGAGTGGTAATAATACGAAGAGGGTTAAGGATCCATTTTGACACTGGTGTCAGCAACGATGTACCAAGTGTCCCTCAGGGTCCACAAGTCATTACTCTATACGCCCATTCTGCAACAGTTTAGCTTCTGAACAACAGCCAGAGGCGATATAACATTTATGTGGGCAAAAACACATCTTTATTTGTCACATATGGCCTGTTCGGTTCTCCTTATTCACCAGAAAAATAAGTACGCACTATTTAGGGTAGTCTTACTCAGCTGGACTATTCTATAGCATATTTTTAAACTAATAAAAGTAATAGCTTCGCCCTGAGTCTGGCAACGTGAGAGACGTTTATTAGCATATTATCCTCTCGTTGGCTCTTTTTATAGACAAATTCTGGCTAACGCCGGGAGTTTTCTCTAGGATGTATTGAAATTGGATAGGCCTATTAGGTGCAGGCTGAGATAGTTTGAGTTGAACTTGTTTTCGAGGCTGTAGACTATTCCTCACGGGCTCTAACGACAAGACGCGTTGACCCGAAACTAATAAAAGTAATAGCTTCGCCCTGAGTCTGGCAATGTGAGAGACGTTTATTAGCATATCCTCTCGTTGGCTCTTTTTATAGACAAATTCTGGCTAACGCCGGGAGTTTTCTCTAGGATGTATTGAAATTGGATAGGCCTATTAGGTGCAGGCTGAGATAGTTTGAGTTGAACTTGTTTTCGAGGCTGTAGACTATTCCTCACGGGCTCTAACGACAAGACGCGTTGACCCGTCCTTTAGTCTTAATGGATGTAGACAGGTCTGTGAAAAAGGATGCTATCTTTGCAGTCCTGCCATCTGTAAAGAACTTAATCAGAGCCCCTGACTAAAACAAATTAACCTCCATTTGCTTAAAGAACACTGCAAGACCCCTTCAAACTCTTTACAAGGTAAACAGAGCACTTTAGGCAAATTGGATCATTTGATTCTTTGGAGAATTAACGTCAGTTGCTGTGTGGCTGCTCTGTTCTCTAACCCAGAGCACATAAGAAATTAGCCTGAGGCAGATCTTGAGCAAGTCTAAACCTGCACTTATGATTGAACAGGAAATGCACTGCCTGTTCCCTCACTACATGTTCTGAGCAAATCAATCATACAGAGCCATCAAACCCTAGTTTTATACACCGCAAAGGTGACACTTTACAAGAAGCTTAAATTTGTTAACATTAGTAAATGTATTTGTTGACACAAAAATTAAAATGCAGTCATCATTTACTCACCCTCGTGTTCCAAACCTGTATGACTTTCTATCTTCCGTGGAACTACAAAGAAGATATACCGTTATATTTGGGTGAACTATCCCTTTAATTTATAAATTAAATTATTGATTCATCATAATACCTTGTTCAAACTACTAATGTTTATACACCTCAAAAAACACGTAGTAATAAGAATTAACCAAGATTAATAAACGCTGTAAATGTACTGTCTGTTGTTATATCATGCCATATTCCACTAACTAAAGTATAGAAACTGTTAGCATAATACATGTATACAAGTAGGGAAAAGAAATAAGAGGCAGCCACATCACAGTGATTTTAACACAAATCAGGGTGTTGTCAGACATAATGTGGCGGTAATGGCAATACGATAAAGGTAAATACAATAATCACATTAAAGAAGTCGTTAAGTAATATAGTTAATTACTATTAGTAATAAGCCTAATCATGGTGTTTAAGAGTGCCAAGCAACTTACACATATAAAATTAATTGATTTATCTTGTGTACAGCTGTTTAAAATAAACAACTCGACCACTTAGGTTTCAGAGCTAAAAACTGTTTTATAAAATGAAAATGATATTTTGCAGAATTGGAACAGCCATCATTCTCATAACCCTACACATTCTCCACCTTTTAGGCTAATGTAATTTGAATAATCTCTGCTTTATTTAATACATTTCACAATGGTTAACTACCTTCCCAATTCTGCAGATTTTCCCTGAAAATCAGAACAGAAAATGGACTTTTTAAAAAAGAGAGAGATTCCGTCTGGACCTGATAATGAACAAACACAAATAACACCTGCTGGCAGTGCTGCATGTTTAGACTGCACAACCTGCATTAGGCTGTTTGTTTCATCAATATATTCTACAACACAGAAAAATAACTCCAGGTTTTCATCCATTTGTCTTCCATTTGAGCAGATGTACAGCACAGAGCTGTTTTGATCCAACAGCTGCAAAATAGCATCAGGGTCAAAATGGGCACATTCAGCATAATGCCTTAACATGCCCTGCTGTAAATGAATGGTCATTAGCCAATACAAAATGGCTTAAATATGAACTCTATCACTGCCACATGGGTGCCCCCTCATCTGGCTGACATAGGGTGC